AAATAAATAAATTTGACTAAATAATTAATAATTGAAATTTTATTTTATTTAATTTTTTAATATAAATTTATAATAAAAAAATAATTATTACACCTAAACTTAAAACTTTTAAATCATATGTTAAAAAACCTTAATTAATCTACACAAACATGAATCTTAAAACTCACAAGGCCTACGCAATCAAAGCAACAGTTTAAACAAAACTAATTTCAACAATTATAAGCTTGAAAGCAATAATAAAATAATTCAGTAATAGCACAAGCAATATCTCCCTTGTCCCAGCATTCGGACAACCAATCCTTTCCTGCCTGGTTCATCCAAAAATTTGGCAACTTACCATTGGTGCATGTCAAGTAGTCCTCACCAGTATGATGAGGCAATAAAAAGAATCGGATGACATCAAAACAATGGCGATTTTACTTTTAACAGTAGCATTTAAGCCTCTTAATTCAACAACACAAAATGTAATCAACAATTTTTTAATGTTCAATCCATTATGTAGTGGCAACTTAACAAAATGACAGCATGTGTCTCCCAATTAAGTCCTAATGCAAGCCTGAAGATGCTTAAGTCTCCTGACTTGACCCTCTATCTTGGCCTAGTCACAACAACCATCCCATTATGACACAAGAAGGAAAAAAAGAACTTAATGTTGAGTGATAATTTAGTATGTCCAAGGTCTCCCTGATTTAAGCAGGGAAACATTAGATGAGTGCAAAAGGCGATGGAGTATAAAAGTTTAAATATGTAACTATAAATCCATATCTTGAAAACACCTTTGATGAGCTAATTGTAGATATGAAGGATTGAAGAAACATTTTAATTGTATGGCATCAAGATGGAATCACTGTAAAAGAAAAACATGCAAAGTATGAAGAGAAAAGAAACAAGAACAACAATGTACCATACGAAAATTCAAATTGCCACTTTTACTTGCAGATCTTCCATTTTCCATATCTAATGTTTGCATGGGGATTGAACAGCTACCCTGCTGAAAAGTTGTTTTGTGTGTATAGAGTGACAGGGATCAAAACCTGCAAGGATTCTTATGAAGCTCATCCTTCTCAATCCATAATAACATTTTACCAGCAAAATGGAACTATATAGTTAGTTTTCAAAAATAAATCATAATTGATCTTTGGAGAACTCAGTTCTAGAGAAGTAGCACTACTATGTATATGTTGATAAATGATAATCACCTTCCAAAGCAACTCAACACCTTGGCCACTGAGATGACAAATGAAGATGTGCTAATAATGAGACATTTAGGATGACAAGCTATAAATCCATTATAATCAATGATTGTTCATGGCATTGTTGTACTCTTCAGGCCAATTAGCAAATTTGAAGGCACACACTTGTTTGGCTTTGAGCTAGAGTTGGTTTACTGTAGTATGGCAGACAGAATACATCCAAAGCTAATTCTAGCAAACCAATGTTATCAAAATAATCAATGGTTTATGGATGACCCACCCATAACATATATATAATCAAATCTCATTATGTACATGTATGCCTTAAATGAGAAACATAAAAATGTGCAAACTAATTTCAATGATTGTTGCAACACAAACCTTTGAGATTAAGTAATGGATATTTATTTATGTCCTTGTTTTAGTCATAAAGTAGCTTTGTAAGTTCTGGTAGTTAGTGACATGCATGATAGAACAATGTTTTAGAGAACACCATCATGTATGTATCAATGATAGTACTCCAATTCTAGGTATATTTACTGAAATGAAGCAAACTCATTCTTTTCAACTCTCTAATGACCCAACTCTCCCATTGAAGAACTGCTAAGGGATAATCATACTCAAAGTACTAGAAAAATAAGAAAGCCAATTATACCAACTAATACATCCATTCACATAACCTCCATTAAGCCAGATGCGAAGGGGCTGCTCAGATGGCCAACCGAGCTTCAAAGCAGTATTAAAGAGCCCTACAACATTTATATCTCTTGTTATCAACACAAATGGGTTCAAGTCCAATAAGATGCATGATAAGGAGAAAACATAGTCTCAATATTTGGATAAACAAATAAGAACCATAATATGAATTGAGGGCTGCTCGGATGGCTGACTTAACTTCAAAGAAGCAGTATAAAAGAATCCCACAACATGTATATCACTTGTTATCAATAGCTGACATTTAGACTCATTAAAAAAACCAAAAAAAAACTGCTTCCTTCTATAGAATACAACATATATACCTAGGCTGGGCATTGGAAAGCATTCAATTCATCTTTGTTGATGGAATTGCCATACAAACTTTCAAAGCTCGACAAACCGATAAGAAATGTGTGCCCAAGTGCTACCACTATGAGTAATTAAAAAGGAATTAACATCCAATTAAGGGAGATAAACATCTTAAGAGCTAATCAAGATTAGAAAATTGAGCAAATCAACCAAGATTAACCCTTAACACTAAATAAGATTAGTACAAAGAATTAGATTTATTTAGGAACAAAAGATAGTTAAAAAAGAGATAGAAACATTTATTTATGAAATATCATAAAGAGAATCGAATGCAAGTATAATGAGACTTACAAAACATCATAATATTAGAGCAAAGGTAAGAGGATATTCTCATGATTAGGATTCTCCCACTAACCGATTCCCACCATTTTGTTGGATTGATAATAAAGATATCTTTGACGACAGGAATGGATTGAAAATAAAGATATCTTTGACGACAGGAATGGATTGAAAATAAGATATCTTTGACGACAGGAAGAGATGGTTGCTTGTTTTCTCTTCCAAGACAAAAGGGAATCCTCTTTACCTTCGGACAGCCCTACATGGTAATGGAATTGAGAGAATCACAAACCATTACTCCTGTTTCTGGGTAGATTCTTTTTAGTTTTGGTAACTTATACAAGTCCAATATCCTTAATGTTGGGCAAGTGAATATTACAGTAGTAGTTGTTTGATTTCCCTCCTCTTCTTCTTCCCATCCTATTATTTCTTTGAAAAAATAACATATCTCTTTATCTATTCAATGAATGGAATACAAGTTTATATAGAAGAGTATGCTAACGACAAGCAAAACATAAAAGGAAAGGGAGAAGATGACCATTGGCAATGATAAAAGAAATAAAGGAAAGAAATGCTGTTGGCATGATTCAAGGGATAAGCCTTGATCACTGGACAACTAATGAAATAAATCCATTTACATGAAATCCAACACCCCTCCCCCCCTTCAAGTTGGAGCATGCAAATTTGAAATGCCCAACTTGTGAAGAAGAAGTTGAAATTGGTCTCCTCCTAAAGCTTTTGTGAATATATCTGCAAGTTGAGATTTGAAGGGAATATGAGAAAGAGTGATTGCATCCAATGACAAATAAAGTGACAATCCAATTCAATGTGCTTTGTTCGTTGATGGAAGATCGGATTTGATGCAATGTGAAGGGCCACTTGGTTATCACATTATAGTTTCATAGGCTTAATTTGAATGGTCAACTCTTAGGTTTTGTTTGGTTTGAGGGAAATTAAAGAGCTTAGAGTCTGATTGGTTTGAGGGAACTGTGAGGATCAAGGGGAAGAAGATTTCTTAGGCTTTGTTTGTCATAGACCTTTTCATATATTACTTTATCAAAATATATAAATTTATAATTTTTAATTAATTTTTTATATATTTTTATTAATTTTAATTAACATTTTGTATTTTTATCAACAATTTAAGTAATTCAATGGTATTTTTTATTTTATGAAAGTAAAAGATCTTAAATTTGAAATATATGACATGCAAATGGGATGTGTTAAGGAATAAAAAATAGTTGTTTTTATTGTGTAATTTAAGATAAAAAATTTTGAATTTGTAAAAATTAAAAAAGAAAAACCTGCGGCTAGAGCCTCACAAATTTGTACTAGATTTATAGTTGTTTTATTTATTCATTTATTTTGTTTCAAAATTAAGAATATGAAAACAATTGATGTTTTTTCTCATAATATTCTTCAAAAGGTAATAAGCATTAGAAAAAATTTAGGTGGAGAATTAAATTAAATTGATAACAATTAGTTTAAAGTTAGAAAGGTATTTTTTTTTAAAAATAAAAATTAATTTGAGATAATTGTGAATAAAAAAATTATTGGTGGCATAAATGGCAATAGCTTATTGTTCGTATTACTTCATTAGAGGATAGTCTTAATTGTTACACCTATTGAGTGCTATACCACCATGCATGAGGTTATTGTTTGGTGATAGCCTATTTTTTTAATGGATTTCAACTCGTAAACTTTTAAGTAGTAGAAATTTAAATGTTAAACTTAATTAAGAAATCAAGTTTTTGAGTGTGGGAAATTATACCACCCCAAGATTGTAAATGATATATAAGCGTAGAGATTAATTATTATTAATAATTTAAATTTTGAATATCTGTAAATTTTAACTAGAAGAGTGTTTAAATAAGCGATGGCTTTCAGTGATTTTATTTTTCATGCATATTTTCTCATAATATTAATTATAAGATTAATTCTTTTAATTAATGAGTTTTAAGGAGACATAATTAAGAGTTTTCAAATTGAGTTAGGCATTAAAATCAATAAATTATATTGTGAATGTTTAAAATCAATATAAATTAGTTAAAACATTACAAATATGTTAATCTTGTAACGGTCAAATTTTAAATAATTTTTAACTATCTCTTTTTAAATTTTTAAAAACTAAAATTTGAATAAAACATTTATCTAACTATGAACTTTTTGAAAGATCCCATGTCCCGGCTTAGCAACCAAAATTTTTAGTTAAGTGAGAATCACCTCCTAAGAGTTACATGTTCAAATCCTACAAATCCTTTGCTCCTTTTTCAAATTACCCTATTCAAAAAAAAATTCTGAAAATTATCGATTGATGTTGTTTTTCTACAGTATCAATATTATTTGATTGTTATAGTACGGTTTTAAATGTCTATATATATTTGTAACTCAAGTATTTAAATATGGTGTTTGACATAGAAGTCTTAGTGGTTTGAGTGACCACTATATATATTGTAAAGGACATCTTATGTGGTGGTAACTATGGAATTCGAATCTTACCTCATGTTTAGAAAATATATATATATATATATATATATAAAATGTTTAATAGCCTTTAAAACTATAATGCTTCCATCTCTCGGAGAAGGCCCAATATATTGGGCCTTCTCACAAAGCTTTGGGTGACACCTTGGTATACACTAATAAATATAACAAACAGTTACAATCCTCTTCTTCTCAATTTTTGGGTTTTAA